TGTTTCCAGAGTTGGAAACACCAAAAGCTGTTAATTTGTGGAATAATTTGAAATATAAATGTAATTTCTTTTAATAATTGAATATATTCAAAACACAGTTTCACAGGTATGAACACGAGTTAAGAGCTTCATGTATGAACTTTTGTTTGTCACTTTTTGGGGCTTTTTAATGTATATAATATATACTTTGCACCTGTCTTTTATTATAACTGTATATATTTAATAATAGCTGTTCAAAGTAATGAATATTAAATGTGGGATTTATAAACTAAGGCTTCAGATTAGATTTTTAGGTCATTAGGGGAGACTGGGGAAGGTTGGCACACTTTTCATTCTCTGCAGTATGTCTCTGGATAATTTATGTAAATTAATTTCAAATATTTTAAACAGCAGCATATTAAAAGTTGAGGCCTCTGCTATATACAGTATAAATATGTTTTAATTTGCACAATGTTGGCCAATTGTGCTATTGTATTTTGTTATGTATTATCTAATGATAAAAACGGAATATATATATAATATAACTTTCATTATCTGCACGAGTACTTTTACTTTTGATACCCAGAAGTATATAGCTATATATGCGTATCACAAACTGTAGTGAAGTAAAAACTACAATATGCATCGTGTCTATCACACTAACAAATACAAAGTATTTTGATGCAAATACTTTTGTACTTTTACTCAAGCAAATGTTTGAATTCAGGACTTTACTTGTAGTGAAGTATTTGAAGACCACAGCGACGTGCAGTCAGGGCTGCCTCCCCTGTCATACTCCAATGTAACGGAAAAACAACTAAAGAAAAACTAAATAGTAATAATAATAAAATGTCTCCACTGATCTGTGTTGTAAGTGTGATTTATGTATGATTCCAATCGCTTTTTATAGTCAAAATTAGCAAATTTGCAGAGCTCCGCTACGGGAGCGATGAGAAGTGAGGCAGGGACGTGCTCTGCCTCTCGTAAACCCACAGTAACTTGCTGGAGCACGGGCACTAATTTAGCGCGGGCACTTATTTTGTGAGCGTGCTCAAGCCAGTTACTGTGGGGTAAGGTGAGGCACAGATGAGATCTGCCTCACCTCAGAATGCATCACCCCACAGAAACTGGCTGGAAAGCGGGCCCTAAGCACATGCCTGTTACCATCTCACTGTATGTCACCAATGTAATGTTTGTAGATCCCTTTATTACATTTATCCTCGCCATCCATAGTCTCTAAATAACTTATTTCACGTATATATGATATTTAGGCTCGCTGGTCTCATCATACAACGGCAATGAAAAAAGCACCAGGGGAGGCAGCCATAACCTCTGCCGCACTGAAGGGGGCGCACATGAGCCCACAGGTTCTTGTTGCTACTGTAATTCTACGCAGAGACGGTAGACGCAAACAACAAACTAGACTTTTGAAACTACAGGAAGATAAGGAGGACTTTTACAAAAAAGTAATAGAGATTGTTGTCCAGAAGGATAGCATGGCCTTCAAGTCAAGGTAAGACCACATTTGTAATGAAAATGGTATCTTACTAAGAAAGAACAATCCAATATTTAGATTTTGGGTATCCTTTTGTTGAACGGTCTGTTTAAAATGAATCGAAGCATCAGACTAAAAAAGCTTTTGAAAATAACCGAATATTTTGATTAAGGTCAAAATATAATATTTGTAAATCTGACTCAGTGAGTCAGTGCCTCACCAGCCATGAACCTCACCGCACGTCACTGGAAGACCATAATATTTGTACTTTTACTTAACCTGTTAAGCACCAAGCCTGTTTTTCATGTTTCAGGCTCGAAAATGACATGCCCAAAACAAATGACTACAACTTAACTTCTAAAAGGGTTATATGAATAATTTCTTTTATCAAAGCAAGGTTACATCTGTGAGTTGGATGTAGAAGTGTCAGAATCAATATAGATTTTTCTCAGTCAGAATAAATTCAGATGGAACATGGTAAAAAAAGGTAAATTCTTACCTCCGCCTAATAAAAAAAACATTACTTATAGTGAAAACCACCCTTGAATGATGGGATGGTAGACTAAAAGCTTTAGGAATCCAAAGTACAACATATAATAAGTACCCTGTATCGAGATTGATGCAAAACAAGTGACATTTGACCTTTTTAGCCAGGTTTAGAAAAAAAAACCCACCTCTGGGGTGATTTGGGTGTAAATGGGCGTTTTTACAGTTTCTCTGGAACGCATTGGTCGATTTTGGTGATTGTAATCTCTTCCTGACCGTTAGAGCCAATAGAATCGAAGGGGGGTTTTCACATAGACACCAACATTAACACAAAAAGGTGGGGGCTTTGCGCATGCAGGCTTGCATCAGAGTGAAGCGATCTCTCGCTCTGACATCTGGAAACGGAAAGGAAGTTTTATTGCTTATGGATTATCAGAAATCATTTCAAAGAGGACACAGACACATTGGATTAACCTATGGATTAACTGCAGCATCGTTTTTTATCGTTTTAATGCCATTGAAGACCAGTTTTGACCAGACAAAGACCAAGGTAAGCCATGTTAGTGTTTGTAGCTACCTAGCGCCAAATGTTTTGATGTACGTTTTCGTTTATAGAGTCGCGAGTTTGTATCACTGAGTGTTGAGGTGGGCACCCATCGATTCTGTGTCTCCAGACGATGCTAATCGATGGGTTGGCTGCGCATCTAGGATAAGTAATAAGGGAGTTATGAGTGAGTTTCGGTGCAGTGATAGGTTAGCATTTTTTCGCTCGTGGCTAATTCAGAGGCTGAGTGTTAGCATTGTGGGTTTTTTTTGGGAAAAAAAATTAAAAAGATCAGTTAGCTGAGTTTCTTCCCGTTACATGGATATAACACATTCATAATTTATTAAATATTAAGATTCCTTAGACGTTGTTTCCTGCAAATGACGCGATTATCCGCCCGGTACCGGGGGGGCGGTGCGTAAGAGGTTAAAGGGGACCTATCATGCAAAATGCACTTTTGTACGTCTTTTATACATGAATATGTGTCCCCGGTGTTCCAGGGAACTCACCAAGTGTCAGAAAACACAACCCTCTCTATTTTCCTCCATACCCAAATCTCTAAAAAAGGGGCTGCAACGGATCTGATAAAAACTGATCCAGATTTGAACACTTCACTGACGTCAGTAAAGTGGCGCTACGGCTATTGGGCCAACTCTCCACCTATCAGGGGAATGTGGGGTGGGCCACAGCCGGCCATTGCCGCTCGAAAGCGCTGGAGACGCTGTAGTACATATGCCAGGCCTGTAAGTGGCGCTGTAGTCTGCCACAAAAGCAGCGAAGAAGACTTCGAAGGCCTGCTCCCACCTGTCGTGTGCTGCAGTGTCGTGTGCTGCTTTGCTGAGGAGACCTTTTACCACGGAGAGCCCGGAGCGCTTCCACGCTGCTGCTTTCGCCTGTCCTTTGCTGCTGTGAGGAGGAGGATTTTTGCCCAAGGAACATCGCGGATACTGTGTGCTGGTCTGGGAAAATGGCCCATATCGTGATTCTGCTGTGCCTGTTAACTGTTCTGGACTATGAGAAGATCTCTAGTCATTCTGAGAAGTCTACTGGATTCAGGTCTGTTCTGCCACCCGCAGTGGGCATCCCCTGCAAAGGGTCGGATGTGTTACACAAACAGTTACCGGTTGCCTTGTCGCAGACAATCTGCTCGACAAAATATGTTTGTCTTTTTTGTTTGCCTGCTTTTTTGTTTGCCTGCGATGATGATGTACAGCGGTACATGAGGCGTCTGTTCGCTCCCATGTTTTCTTTTGTGTTGCCATAAGTTAGTCTCTCTCCGTTGATGTGCTGGGCTAATGCGAGCAAATAAAATGGCGGTTTTACGGGGCGTGGTTTGCAATTCTCCCAGCCAATCAGCAATTGTTAGCGTGGCCGACACACCCACGAAGCATTTCATCCCCAGGAAAGTACTACCTCGCTAGCAGGGACGATCTGGGGGTGAAAAGGTTCGTGCGAACTAGGGAGTACTCCGGTGTGAAAGCGCTAAATAATATAATCCATTATCCATTCTGCATAGCAAGTACCTTTACTTTTGAAGTACCTGGAGTACATCTAGCTGATAATACTTCTTTACCTTATATTATTCTGAAATAGGCCATTGTTTAGAATGAATACTTTTACACCAAATACTAAAATGTTTCTCATCATACTTAAAGGTGGGGTAGGTAAGTTTGAGAAACCGGCTCGAGATCGCTAGAATTTGAAAATACACAACCGGAGAAAATCTGCCACTTCCTTACAGAGCGCGCACATGACCAATGAGGGCACGAGATAAGTTTGTGCCCCGATGGAAGGCTGACAGGCAGGTAGGCCATCCAGTTATTTTAGCCGGCCGGCTAAAATGATTGGTCGTACTTTTTACAGTACTACGGCTTCCACAGATGACATTTTTTTATGGATTTTTTGTCAAAGCACTTAAGATATTCATTGCTATCGGGATGTTAAGAGCATTCCATGGAATATAACAAAAAGTGTATCTCGAGCCGTTTTCTCAAACTTACCTACCCCACCTTTAAGTACCATTGTCAATGCAGGACTTTTACTTGTAACAGAGTATTCCTATACTGTGGTATGATTACTTTTACTTAAGTATAGGATCTGAGTACTTCTTCCACCACTAGTAAAACACTTTTGTAAATGTACTTTGTTAAATTCCCCCTCCCCAAAAAGTATATTTAGCTGATAATCAAACTGTACTTTTACTGAAGTAGCATTTTGAATTGGTAATGGTATGTTTAGACTGTAGTATCAGTACTTTTACTTAAGTATAGGATCTGAGTACTTCTTTCACCACTAGTAAAACACTTTTGTAAATGTACTTTGTTAAATTCCCACCCCAAAAAAGTATATTTAGCTGATAATCAAACTACTTTTACTGAAGTAGCATTTTGAATGTTGTAATAGAGTATGTTCAGGCAGTGGTCACAGTACTTTTACTTCAGTATAGAACCCATGACTCTGAGGGGTTTTGGCAGTACCGTGTGTTTATCTACTCACAGGGACACGGTTCTGTTGGGCAGGAAGCTGGGCTGCAGGGTGTCCATCAGCTCCACATCGTCACACACCACCCTGACCCGGACCTGCTGCCGGCTCAGCTGCTTAGACCTCTCCGCGGAGCAGTGGCAGCTTTCCACGATCAGGTCCGGACAGTTCCTGTTGCCCAGGCTGGAGGACAACAACCCGGCTATTACGCACAGCAGAACCAGCGCACTCATGGTGGACTCTGATTCCTTTTTCGTTCAGGTTATATCCTCCCAGCTCCTGTGACAAATCGGGACCATTTCACATTAATCCGCCTGTGATCGAGGTCCAAAATCTCAGCGATCACCTGCTGCGTCCCCACTTTTACGATCAAACAGGAATGGGAAGTAAATAATCCGGGGTGTGAAACGCTGAATCTCTGACATTCTGTCTCGTAACACTTTCTCTCTTTGCTGTGTCATGCTGGAAAACTTCCAGCCGCGCGCTTTCAAAGTCCGGATCAACTTCAGTGCGACACATCCTCTCCACGCGGGAGATACATGGTGAGATGTGTAGGTAGAAAGTGATCCTCCAGTAAAAATCCGCCTCCTGTTGGAGCTCCTGCATGCCGCGGTGCCATTCACTCTTATCATCCACTTCTTGCGCCCTTGGACTTGTTGCGCAGTGTCACCCCCCCCCCTCTGCTACTGGGAAATGTTGAATATTTGAAGAATCGCTGAGTCAGAAGAGTCGCGTTTTGGGGTGACGTTATAGACAGTTGAGTTATTAAATAATTTAGTTTTCGAATATATTTATTTAGTTTTATTTAATTTATGCTCCCTGAAAATGATTTAATTTGATCAAAGTTATAACATGTTTCATTTTTTTGTGTAAAAGTGTATTTACGTTGGTTCTATGGAAGAGGATAAGGGCAAGATGTGAAGACCTATTATTTTAAAACTCTCTAAATGCTCTTTTGAGTAAAAGACAAAAATAATAGTAATATAACTGTCTGTAACATCATCCAATAAAAAATTTGAAACTCAGAAGAAAAAAAAAATCACTTTCTTTTTGCATTTGGGTGGGGTTGAAATAAACTCAAATAAAGACATTTTAACATCGGCGGATGTTACAGACAGTTATTACTATTATGATAATGTTTGTGGGAAATGTTTAATTTTTGAAAGGATCTAATGCATCTTCCCTGAAAATCTATTGATTTGATCAAAGTTCTAAGATGTTTTTTTCATGTATTAGAAGTTTATTTGGGGTTGTGGAAGAGAATCAAAATCAGAAACAGATTTGTTGCCAAATAGGTTAACACATACGAGGAATTTGGCTTAGTATACATGAAAAAACATCAGAATTCCTACTTTATTCTGAAATCAGAAAATAAATTCACATTTGGTCCCTTTTTGTATTGCATTTGGCCCCAATCCTCTTCCATAGAGTTGAAATGAACTCAAATGAAGACAGTTTTTATTTGGGTGATGTAACAGATACCTAATCAGATTTCTTCTAAGGAAAAAGTTTATTTTTGAAAGATTAAGATGTTTACTCCCTGTATATCATTATATTTTATTTATTTGTTTATCTAATTTAAAAGTGATTTTTTTTCAGCATTTAGAGTTTCAAATAATATTTATTTGTCATTTTTCAGTCAGTCAGTTTTCCACACATGAATGAAAAGAAATGTATATATGAAGGATAAAGCTTTTTTTTAATTTAACATTTTCTATACCTATTTTTTCATAATTAATCTAATTACATCTTTAATGTTTGATATTAGAACATATAACTTGTGTATTCATCAGGATGCATTGGTTTGATTGTTCGGTCTGTTTCAGTGTTATTATCTTTTGTTTTTATTGTTTTGTTAGATTTTTGGGGGCATTTCTTGTTAATATAGAAAAGTCTCTCCCTGCAGAATCCTGACAGACTCAAGCGTGGGCTTCTTAACGTTTAAAATCCCAAACTGATACATGAGGCCACAGACTACCATTTGATAACATGTGATATCAATAAACCACATCAGAGAAGACTGTCTCCTTTCATTCCTCTCACAGATGGGTTAAATTCCTGGAAAGCAACACTAAAAGCAGAGTAAATCATCCGATCAGCTACCAGACGATGAATTTGAACTATTTCTCCATGCTGCCACTCCCAGGGGTCACCGGAGGTCCCTGGGTCCCATTTCAGGATCTGCAGCGGTGCACTGCATGTGAGTCAGGCATGATCTCTCAAACACAAACATTTACACGGCCGGATGAAAAGTGTTTTATTCTCTCTTCATTTACCCGGGAACAGCTGCAAAGGAACTGTTTGTATCCACTTTCTGTGGCCAGTACACACAGTGAGAATGATCTAAATCAAGTCTAGTTATATTCCTATAAGGATTCACAGGGAAACCTAACCCTTACAATCAAACACATATCACTTTTTACAGATATAGTGTCCTCTGAAATAATGTTTTTTTATATTAGGTTGCAGTGTCATGGTAATGTTTCATGATCCGTATCGCTTGAGTTTGATGAGCTATAATGTGAAGCTGCTGCAGGGATCAGGCACTTTACGAGAGGAGTCAGGAAACACTTGTAAACCTGATGTTTATTGACACGTTTATTATTGACATGTTCTCACTTACTGAAACACTCCATTTGGTTTATGCGAGGCGGGCACCTGTGTAAAGCGAGCAGGTGTCAGGATATGATGCGAATTACACCACGGTCTTGCAATGGATGTTTAACACTAGAACCGCCAGAGGTCGCTGG